TGCACTTTGTTGAAATTGTAAGACTCTTCTGATAACACGGCTACAATCGTCTTACAAGTGGCATACCAAATCGTAAGTATACCTTCCAGCGGCGTTTCTTGCTTCAGTTCTTGACATGTAGTGAGGACTTTAACAGCATACGACACAATCCCTGATTTAAAAACATCTAATATGACCTCTTCACAATCAGACAGATTGTAGATCAACCGAACACCTTGCAGCATGAAGCTAAAACCTACCGTGCCCTCTTCAACCATATCTTTAAATCGCACAGCTACAGGAACAGTCAGCTTAGCATACTGGGGATCACCCGTCTTGTGTACAAGTACTCTAAGTATGTTTAAACAAAATATTTGCTCCATCTCCGTACATTGTTGGTTTTGGAAATATTTCTCTATGACTTGAACGCCATTGCTTTCAGAGAAATAATTAAAAATACTTGCTTCGTCTCCGTAGATGACAATGTTTTCACTTTTCCAATGATACGAAGGAGTACTGCGGAATACTTCCATTCTCCTTTTCTGAGAGCTTTCCAGTGCTTTTGGGGAATTATGATCTTGCTAAAAAGCTCGCTCAGAACAATGTTGTCGTCAGAAAATGGACCCTGAATTATGTTCCTCATGGCAATGTCCATTTCAATCCATTTCTCATCAGCAATAAGTTTGTTTATTTTCTCATGCATTCCTTTGTAGTTGTTCCTATCACAAAAGAAGTTAGGCTTGAACATCTGCGGTAGCGGCAACACATCCAAGAGATGAGACACGAAACCTGAAACAGGATTTTCATATTAAATGATTTAACATTGAAAATTTACAACTCAAGCATATTATATCATGAATAATAATCTTAGCTATTTACAACTGACTGTGTACATACAATTTAAACGCTTAGGATTTACAAATAAACACATCAATGCTGATTTTATACCGTATAATGTAGATATAATATCAAATTTTTCGCTTGCAAGGATTGTATAGTCGTCAAAATTACTTCATGTGTAATATATTATTATATATAATTAATTATATATTATAATTAATTATATATTATAATTAATTATATATTATAATTACCTTGGATTACAATTACCTTGGATTACAATTGGATAACAGACAACATATTTTACTATCTGGCTTTGAAGGGCCAATTTCATAACGATATTAATATTATATGACTATCATAAAACTGGGAACAGATTTTAAACACTGAAATTTCTAATTTGCATGTAGCTTACGTTTTACTCACAGAGTTGTTATGGTAATATTAATTGAAATGCAGTTTGGGAAATGTGATTGAGAAACTTTTCAACAGACATTACTAAAAGCAATCCAATATCAAATGTTTAATGTGTGTGAGTAATTGACGATTGGTTGGTTCAATAAAATAGGAAATAATCAAAAAGGAATAATTAATTAAACGATAAAAGAGAATTAAATACATTGTATTGTACAGTACAGTGTATTGTAAAGTGTATTTGTTAATATTATAAATCATATTATGCTGATTCCCTGCTGTTTACCTATCATTCAAATAATAATTTTAAAGTAAATTAAAAAAACTCGGATGCTATCTGTATAGTATTTACATCAAATTTTGTCTCAATCATTGTTCAGGAGGAAATGAAAACTTATGGTCAAACTAACTGTAGTGCAAAATGTTTATAAACTTCTTGACGTTCTCAATGATCCTTTTGTTGTTCTGATCCTCCAATAAGCCCAAACAAGGTGACACTAAGTCTTCTAGGTGATACAACACCGTATCACCTTGCTCATTGCAGGGGATAGAGGTGAGGAATCCGGTAATTCTTATCAGCATAGATCTTTTGTATTCTAATTTCCTCTCAAAGACTTCTTTTATTTCAGCTAGAAACATATTTCAGGACTTGTTCCTTCATTTCCTCCAGAGTCGCTACTTTACTGTTCTCTTCTTCATGTTGCAGAGCCCCGTAAAAATCCTTTGTGATTTGATCAGAACCGAATAATATAATTCGGTTAATCTTATAATCATAGATCTTTTGTATTTGGGGGGGGGGCCAACCATATTAAAGTATATTAAAATGTAGGATTTTTCCCGATTTTGACCCGGGGATATACTTTAATATACTTTAATATACTTTAATATACTTTAATATATCCCTATCTCCTTGGAGGCCTACATCCAACATTTTTACCCAAAATAAGCTTGAAATGCAATTCTTAATCGATTCCAAAAAGTTCTTGAAAAAATATTGAAAACTGATGGAGTTATTTCAATTTTAATGAAGTCATTTTGGCTAGTATTCCGAACCGAGATATTAGGTGCAATTTTCCCAATTTTGTTCATGGAGGTCTTTTTACTTAGTATCCACTATATTCAACAAACACTGAGTTATATCTTTCACATAGAGTTAGTCTCATTAAAAAATATTGAAATTTTATCGAATTTGGGCAAAAGCGAATTTGGGCAAAAGCGTATGCCCAAATATGGGCATAATTTTTAAAGCTCATAGCTCAGCCAATTTTTGACCAATCTGGATGGAAATTCATGTACTAGTCCTAAAACAGGCTTATCTTGCGAATCTGAGTGAAAAATATAGTTCATCATGTAAATCTTAACGAAGAATATAAATCTTCTAATTGTAGGTATATTAAAGTATATTAAAATGTAGGATTTTTTCCGATTTTGACCCGGGGATATACTTTAATATACTTTAATATGGTTGGCCCCCCCCCCCCCCCCCCCCCCCCCCCCCCCCCGTATTTTGATTTTCTCTCAAAGACATCTTTTATTTCAACTAAAACATACTTCATAACTTGTTCCTTCATCTCCTCCTGATTTACTACTTTAGCCCTCTCTTCTGCTTGTGGAAGAGCTTCAAAAAGATCCTTTATAAGTTCATCTGGCCCATGTTCTACAATATACCAAATATGTGGTAAAACGCTCGATTTGAAGCAATTTACTTTTGCATCTTTATTATCATGAAAGATCCAGGATATGGTAACTCTATTGCAACTTTGCCTTCTTGGATTTCTTGAAAGTTGCAATAAAAATGATTATCCAGTGACTTGAATCTGGCATCGTCTGTAAATTTGCACGATATACCAAGTGCAGCTACCACAAAAACAAGCTTCTGTTCAAGAGTCTCCCCTGTTTTTGTTACCTGTTCCTTGTGTTCACAGTTTGGAACATCGCAGCAAATATAACTCTGGTAGTTAGCAAATAGGGTATCGAAGAACCCTTTATCGAAATGCAAAAATTCATCCGTATCAGGCACCTTGAGGATCATATCATAAAGAACTGAGAAGAATTTAAACAATTTAATCTCATTATCTAACTGGTCAGGAAGGCTAGCCAATATCGAGATCAATCCCTGGTTTAAAAGGTGCTTTAAATCCTCCCGGCTACCTTTTTCTACAGCCTTATAACAAAAACTGGCGACTAGAAAACGATCAGAGGATGAATAAGACATCGGATTTTCATTGATTGATTTAAGAATTGTAGACACGGCAGGAGCAACGACTCTTACACTGGGCTCTACATCCATCATCCATACTATTATCTTGATGCTATTACGTACCAGTCCATGAGAATGACGTTTGAGCTCATCATCTTGAAGTTGAAGTATAACAACCAAGGCATTGACAACTTTTTTTATGACTCCGTACTCTTTTATAGCAGTTAGATCACTAACGTTTTTGGTTTCATATATTAGGAGCACCAAATCTTGTACAGCATTGTCTAGAGCTTTCAATTTGTAGGTTTCGTATTCTTTCAGACCAATAGCAGTTTCTCTAACAATCTCCACTACATTCAGTATAAGTATTGGAAGATCAACTTTATCAAACTTAAGTTTAACAGTATCCTTCTTTAAAACTGCTCCAATCATCGTACAAACAGAAGTCCAAACATCAAAAATTGATTTTAGTGGCTCTTCTTGCTTCACTTCTTGACATTTAGAGAGGATTTTAACAACAAACGACACCATTCCAGATTTAAAAACATCTGACATGAGGTCTTCGGAACCTTGGTAATAACACAAAAAGTCGATCAATGTGACACCTTGCAGCATAACTTTAAACCCCATTTTCTCCTCTTCTACCATATCTTTGAATCGTGCAGCTACAGGAACGGTTAGCTTAGCATATGGAAGAGACTCTGTTTTACTCAAAAGCGAAACGAGTATGCTTAGACAATACTTATGCTCCATTTCCGAAGATAGTTTGCTTTTGAAACATTTCTCTAAGAATAGAATGCCATTGTTTTCTGAGAAGTATTTGAAAATACTTTCGTTATTTCCGTGTTGGGTAATGATTTCAATAACACGTAGAATTGATAACGAACACCTTGATTCTCCTCCTTCAAGAGCTTTCCAATGTCTTTTAGGTACATTTGTTTTGCCAAAAATCACACCCAATATATCATTGTTGCTACGAATATTTGGATCCTCAGCAAGATTCCTTATGGCCATGTCCAATTCAATCCAATTATCATTTTTTTTTTTTTTTGAAAATTCAATTAATTATTATTATATATATAAATCAAGCGTTACATTTCAGCCATGCAAAATTACAATGACATATTTTGATATACTAATTGATAAATGGAACTGCAATATAAGTTGCTTAATGTTTGGCCGGATGACAACTAACTAAAAGAGAAAAATAAACTTGATTACATAATAATTAATTCGGCTGAACCAACACATAGCAAGAGCCACATTAACGTTGGGGCCGTCATTAAGATATATATTTATATCCTCATTAATTCCCTTGCAGTAATCCAAAAGAATCTTTGCCATCGATAGAGATGTTGAAACATTTAGGAGGTGAGCCATAAATCCTGAAAATTATATTCTATCATGATTTGACAATATTGATAAAGCAGAGCAATGTCGATAAGTAAAATCTATAATTTCCTAGCTATTAAGACTGGTGATGGAATACAGCTTAGCTCGAATAGCTCTGCAATGAGTAAATTTCTAGTTTATAGGTGATGAACAAGAATAACAATCTTTACTTTTTGACACTTTTAAATAGCTTATAATTATACTTATTATCGTAATTTATTTTTTTAAAGATTAAGAATGAGAATAATAGAAACGACACATTATTGGAAGTAAAATTTAAATCGAGTTACGATAATAAATAAGACATACTGTTCGATACCTTCGATATTCATTTACAATTATCGATCTGCTGTTAAAAATAATTAAAGAGAAAAATGGAACAATGCAGTGAATACAGAAATTATTCAATGTGTAGATGAAATAAAAGTCTGCTATTTAAAAATCATTTACTTAATAAATTATAACTGATTACCTTGTAATCAAGGTGTAATCATGATATTTTCTCGAATATTATTGTGTCCTTTAAATAATATTCATGCCCAACTAGGGATTTATATTTAAATCCCTAGTTGGGCATGAATATTATTATTAGTAATATTATTACGTTTAAACTAATGCTAGACTTAGTCTTGGCCCTATTCTCTTTATTCAAGGCTAAGATTTTTTGTAATTGCTAGGTTTGCACATCCTTACTCCTGTTGCCTCCAGATTATTGCATTCATTCGTTACTTTTTCACCTTCATATTTCAGGTTGCTGTGTAGTGTGTCTGATTTACCTAGAGACAGCTCTTCAAATATCGATACAGGTATTAATTTACTTCCTAGCAGTGAGCTATTGCTTCCCCTAGTCCTACCTATTCCAACAACTGGACGTCAATGTGAGGGAAGCTACTTATTTTGACTTTTGTACATTTTTGTATAAAAAATCAATTTTCAAATCGTGTAAAAATGACATTAAAATGAATCCCTAATATTATATCGATTCGAAATAAGATTGAACATAAATTATCATTTAAATTTCGGTGCCGTTATTTAAAAATTGCAGGGTCTCAGTTCAACAGACTCAAGCTAACAATCTACCAACAGTGCAGGTTTTTGATGAACTTCTTGACGTTCTCAATGATCCTTTTGTTGTTCTGATCCTCCAACAAGCCCAGACAAGGTGACACTAAGTCTTCTAAGTGATACAACACCGTGTCACCTTGCTCATTGCAGGGGATAGAGGTTAGGAATTGGGTGATGGTAATTATTGTACTATCTTCTTGCTGTGATTTCAGTTCAATGATAGCCTTAATTTCAATCAAAACAAACTTCAGCACTTGTTCTTTCATTTCTTTTAGAGTAGTTACATCCTTAGTGCTGGTGGGCACTTCTGCTTCAGAAATAGACTCGAAAAGAGCACTTACAAGTTCATTTGGTCCAGTCTCTGCAACATACCAAATATGTGGTAAGACATTTGATTTAAAACAGCTGACATTAACCATCTTTTTTACTAGAAATGACCCAGGATAGGGTGCCTTTATTGGGATTTTTCCGGTCTCAATAATTTCATATTTGTGATGAAAATATCTTTGCAGGATTTGAAACCTTTTCTCATCTGTATAATGGCAATTTATACCAATAGCTGTTAACACATAGGCACACATATTGCCAATCTCAGCATCATCGGTATCAAAATCACAGATAACTGGATCCCAATAGCGATACAGCAGAGCAGTGAAAAGTTTGTCTTTGAAATGATAGAACTGGTCTGTGTCTGGTACCTTAAGAATCACTTTATACAGTGTGGATAATAGAACACCCAACATTTTACTCTTGCTGTTAACATTATATAATATTGCCAGTAAGGGCATCATTTGTTGACTGAGCAGGTGCTTTACATCATCTTTACTACCTTTATCAACAGCTCCAAGACAAACTACAGCAAAATCTGAAGCATAATGTTCAGGGCAAACTGTGACTGCAAAGAAAGTAGAAAGTGCAGAGAAAGCTGGAGCTAGTAATTTAATATCAATTCCAATGTTCTTCTCAATCATCTTTCCGATTATCAAGAATGAGTTCCCCATCATATCATATTTAAAGCAGCGGTTTCTGATTTTGCTATTGTTGCAAACAAATAGTATTCCTTCAATGATTGCTCTCACGACTCTAGATCCTCGAGTGACATTCATGTCTTTAGCTCTGTCATCTTCGTCCATAAGAAGTGCAATGACCACAACAGCAGCTTCTACACATGAAAACTTTGATTGATTAAGTTCAACTGAAGTTATTGCAATAGAACTGTTGATTATTTTAACAACAGTCTTGGTAAGGTTCAATAGATTATCTTTGCTAATCTTGACTGACTTAGCCTTCTTTAAAATCATTGAAATGGTCTTCATAGCTGCAGTCCAGGTGTACAATCCGTTTTCAATTTGTGATCCTTTCTGTTCCTGACCCCTTTTGAATGCACTTGCTAAAAAATGAACAACTTCAGAGCTTAGAGAACTTAGTATTTCTATCATTAAACTAGTAGAATTGCGGCAGCAACAAGCAGCGTGAACAACATCAATGCCAAGATGTACAATTCCACAGTTTGCTTTTGGCTGTTTCATAATTGTAAAAATGTGCTTTACAAGAGGCAAAATTGGTCTAATAAGTTCAACATCCTCTGTTCTGAGGAGGATTGCTTTAATTGCATTGAGACAACAAATTTTTTCACCATCGCTTCTTGATTGATCCATGATAATATTACACAAGATTTCGATGCCACTAAACTTGGAGAGATTTTTTACAGCAACATTCTTGTCTGCATGAATTGCAATTGATTCTATGATATCAAGAACAAAAAGCGACTGCTCTGATTTTCCCCTCTGCAAAGATTTCCAATGTTTCTGTGGGATAACAATTCCATTGAAAAATTTGTCCAAAAACTCTATGTTTTCAGAAAAAGGAGGCACTTCAGTAGCCATCATGACAATTTTCAATTCATTCCACTCATTAGCAGCCAGTCGATCATTAATGTATTGAGACATCTCATCGAAGCTTTCGCCATCCAAGAATCTAGCAAACAGTTGCAGTGGTAAATCACCAAAGAGGTCATGTGAATAACCTGAAAAGCTTTCATTTAGAAATTATAGATTTATGCTAGGAGTCGTTCACATGTTACGTAATCAGCAAAGAGGGGGGTTTCAAATGATTACGGTTGATTGAGGGGCAGGGGGTTTCAAAATTAAACATGCCAGGTCCTTAGGTTTGGATCTCTGGTCCAAAAAAAGTTGTTTCGGGATCTGATTTTGGGTAAATCAGTCTTTAGCTTCAGATCTAAGGGTTCAATATAAATAACAGGTGCTTGAGACTATCAATTTCGAAATTTATGTTACAAGACAAATCATACATTTTCTGGCATTTAACCAGATGATGGAAATTTCATAACGTTTCAGGAGTAAGGGGGGTTGGGTCTTTCAGAGGCGGCTATTGAGGGCGTCCAGGCGTCCAGGCGTCCAGGCGTCCATGGACGCCCTAAAATTATTATCTGGTGACTGGTGCTTGAAAATAGAAATAGTGATTAGTAATGGTATTCGGAAATATCTAACCGCAATATAAGCTCTCTATTCATTCATACGTTCGAATGTAAGCGCACGCATGATCTTTGTGAAATTTTGTGTTGTAGGGTGTCCAATCCTCGTTTGGACAACTTAGACGTGCAGTTTTAACACATAGTTAATTGTCCCAATTGTAAACGGTACAAAGCACATCAAGCGCATCCACTACAGGTAATCTATGTGATTTGGTTGTCCAGGACACCTTGCAATCTGAACTGTTATGTTTATTTGCTGTCGCCTGTGACACATTACATACAAGAGAACAACAAATTCACTGTGGCCTGTGTGTAACTGTAATGTACTTTGGAATAATTTAATTAATTAATTAACTCTCTGCTATGGTAATGGTATTGTATGCAGTCATCGGTGAATAGACATCGGCAGTTTAGGGGGGGGGGGGGGAAGCTTGGGGCGGCCCCCAAGCCCCACTCCCCAAGTCGGTCGGACACCCAACAAAACTGCCAGCCAGCTCCCACAAGCCGCCTCTGGGGTCTTGACTATGGCAGATTAAAAGGGGAGGGGTAAAAATAGCTTTAAAATTTGTAGCTGAATATGTGAACGACCCCAGTTATATTGCCATGCACATGGTAAAAATATTTAAAAGAGATACAAAAAATTTTAATTATTACTACTGTTAAGCCACAATATCTCCTATTGTATGCCGTTAACATAGATGGTAGACCTGACTTGACAAGATAAACTGAAAATAGGTAAGACCACCATCAGAATCTAAAAGATTTCCAGCTACTTATGTAACTGAAAAATATATACTCATAAAGTGCTGTATAAAATGTGACTTAATTTATTTGTTTATTTCATATAGCATATAACTGATAATGTACCTTGGAAGAGATCACGATGAAGTTCCATTCTTTGTAGCTTAGATCTTGACAGCAAAGATCCTTTCTAGCTGTGATAGGTTTGGCAGATAAAACCAGATAAAATATGGTGGAAAGAATCGAAAGAATTGAAAAAATTGTATTGGTTTGTTCATATTCGAGGGTGTCTAATTATATAAATAGACAATTACCATTTTTTTAAATATTTGTGTGTTTGAACAATTTTCTGTTTTTAAGGCCAGATGGGGGGTGGTATTCAATCAAAGTGATCAGATCGTCATCCACCAACATGCTTGTTACCGCCTAATGAGTCTCATTGTTGCTCGCTAGCGAATAGCTCCCGATGAGATTACTGATTGGGTGATGGAATCACTGATTAAGTGCCAAGATCACGTGTCTGCAATATCTTAAAAGGGTCACAACTCGGTTAAATTGTAAACAACCAACTTGAAATTTATCAAACTTCAATTATCAAACCAAACATGTCTAGAAACTTTGAAGCTCCTAGCTGGAAGCGTTCTCACTATGGTGACAATAGCGAAAAAGAGGGATTGACGTGCCACACCCACTGTAATTAATTAAATTTGACGAAACTTTGCCTCTGTTCTTGAAGTATGAGGTTAACTGTCTTAATATAACAAAATTTGGGTTTAAGTTAACCTCATGTTTTAAGAACAGAAGCAAATATCAAAATTCTGAACAATGGAATTGTTGGTAACAGTACAAGTAATGGAACACCTGTGCCAAGTTTCAGATCCTGGGTGCGGCCAGTGCACAGTGGGCCAGAACAGTGGGTCATGCTATATTAGGCATATTTCTGGGCATTGGACATACTGAATGTCATTTCATTGGGTTAACCATAAAATATTCAAACAATATACACATAATATAGCAATGACCCTATATAAAATTCTGTAAAAATGGTACAAATTTAGAAACTGAGGTAAAAATAAAAATAAAACCCTTTGTAATAATATATATAAAAACCACTAAATCACATCACAACAAAAAGTAGTTTAGACCCCCATCCAACTAGAGCACTCCATGACCTTTTAGGGTTTAAGAGTGTTGATCAGGTTAAGGTCCAAATCACTTATTGCCGTGGGTGGAAGGGTTCTGGTACCTCTGTACCCCCTGATAGAGATTATACAGGTTCTGAGTAGATCAAAACGCAGTCTGCGTCTGACAAATGACATCACATCACAATACCGTTGGCCTTTCTTTAGGCTGATCTTTTCAGCGAGATGTTTTAGAAACTGTGAAGCCTCAGTTGCCATTCCTCCTGTAGTACTGAACACCAGTGGCGTGAAGGTAGCCTTTTCAACATTGAGGACTCTGTCATTGTACTCACGTTTTTTGCTTTTCTCGTGAGATTGGTACATCTGTGAGATGCTCTTGTCACTGTTGGACTGGGCTTGAGGGTGAAGTACCCTTACATCTGTGAATGCCCTGTCCAGCGGCAACCAAAACGATCTCGCACTGATGTCCAGTCTTGCACCATCTGTCTATTTGTTCCATTAGATAGTTCAAGTGTGTGAGGAACGGAGAGAAGCTGGGGTTCTGTTTCAACGTCTTTGCAAACAGTGGTTAGGAGTTCAGCTATTGTATCTCTTAGTGAATTGTGTCTAAGTGAAACGTAGCCTCCGATTTTGCAGGTTAGAGTATGGTTGATATGATTTTGATTTCCACATACACATAGGGAACTTCTGTTAGCTGTAGACAGTGTAAGATTATATCTGAGTGAGAGGGCATCAAAGAATTCTTGTTTGTTAAGGACATACCCACATGCTTTTAGAGGGAGTTAACCTGTGTCAAATTTACGTTTTAGAGCAATTTCAGGGCCCTAGAATGCTTGGATACTTGTAAATTTGAGTTTTTCATCATTTTCAGATGCCTAATTTTGGCCCCAAAAATCGAGTTTTTGAAACAAGCTCATAAAGCGGCTTTGAGGTTATCTACTTGTAGCTACAGACTTCTTGTGCACCCAGATATCTTTCTTTTTGAAATTGGACAAAAAATGGCTGAGTTATGGGCAAGACGCGTATGCCCAAATATGGGCGTGTGCACAAAATTCAGCCGTTTTTGCTACATAATGTGGGTAAAAATGTATATTTTTCAATGAAACCACTTTCAGGGTATTGATTGATTGAAATAAATGTTCGTGCACATACAGAATGAATGGTTAATAATTTAATATATATGTATATGAATGTATGAAAGATGGCATATTTCCAGATGACCTTAAAGTTGGAAGGATTAGTCCCATTTACAAGAAAGATAACCAGGAACTCCTTGAAAACTATAGACCTGTATCAACGCTAGCTGTGTTTGGTAAAATATTTGAAAAGATTATATTCAATAGATTATACAGCTTCTTTCATTCACAGAACTCCTTATATGAAAACCAGTACGGATTCCGTAAAAATCACTCGACCAGTTATGCCCTAAATTACTCAGTGAACCACGTAGAATCTTGCCTCAAGAAAAAACAACACGTTCTTGGAATATTTATTGATCTTAGTAAAGCCTTTGATACAATATCACATGAAAAGTTACTGCATAAGTTAGAAAATTATGGAATCCGTGGAAATGCAAATAACCTTATAGCAAGTTACCTGTCGAACAGATACCAGTATGTCTCGGTATTAGGTGAAGAATCCGATAAACTTCCAGTAGTCTATGGAGTGCCGCAGGGGAGCTGTCTTGGTCCCTTACTTTTTATTATTTATATTAATGACATCCGTAACTCATCAATTATAGGAAAGTTTATACTATTTGCCGACGACACTAACATATTTATAGAAGACACATGTGTCAAAAGACTATACGAAAAAGGAAATGAAGTTCTATCATTTGTGTACAAGTATATGAAACTAAACTTATTACATATTAACATTAAGAAATGTTGTTTTATTCATTTTAAACCCTCACGGGCCAAAGAGGAAGTAGAAAATGACGAGAACATACTAACTTTAAATAATGTAGTTATTAAAAGAGTTCAAGAAGCTAAATTTCTAGGCGTTATTATTGACGACCAACTTAACTGGAAATCACATACGCAGTCACTTAACTCAAAACTTAAATGCGAAGTAGGAAAGCTGTGCAGAATACGACACATTGTCCCAAAGCAGTATTATAAGGATTTATATCATACTCTATTTGAATCACATTTAGGATTTGGAATATCTGTGTGGGGTGGTATTAGCAATAACCGACTTGAACCTATCTTTAAAACACAGAAAAAGTGTATAAGAATTCTGTTTGGGGATAGAGAAGCTTACCTAGAGAAGTTTAAAACGTGTGCCCGAACACGACCTGTTGATAAGCAAAGACTGGGGGTGGACTTTTACCAAAAAGAACACTCCAAGCCCTTGTTTAAAACCCACAGGTTGTTGACGGTCCACAATCTGTACAAGTACACTTGTCTCTTAGAACTATTCAAAATTAATAAGTTAGAGGAACCATTATCACTGTACTCATCATTTAACAGGTCACCACGACGAGAGGATTATTTCATTACATCACAACCATCCTCACAATTCATCTACCAATCATCCTACATGTGGAACAGCTGTCGACAAACATCAAGTAAGATAAGTTTTAATACTCCGACAAACGGGTTTAAGAATATATTGAAAATTGCCTTACGAGAATTGCAATTCAAGCATGATACACTTGATTGGTGTGAGCTTAATTTTGCCACAAATGAGCTCAAGTTCTGATTTATGTGAGTTACTAAAATGACCATATATCTTTTCTCATACATATAACCACTGCACTCCAACCAAAAACATTACTTACACCATACTCCACAAATGACATATATATATATACACAAACACACTAGTACCGAGCAATCGCACTGTAAAACATGCTCACGATACACTCAAAATTGGAAATATTCAACGGCTTGTATATGAAACTTACACTTACACTCAGTGTACACCCAGTGTTAACTAGTATTACACACTGGTAAACTCTACGTAACGCGCGAAAATAATAATTCTATGGAGTTTTCATTGTCACATTTCACGTCGACGGGATTAAACGCGCGCGCGCGTAACATCTTATCTTACTGCTATCTCAACGAATAAACACACAACGACTTTGACAATTGACCGACGACTTAACGATTGTGAGTTATGACGGACTTAACTGTATGGGTCAACTACTAAAACTGCATTGTATACTATCTTAATCATTATACTGGACATGAGATGACGAAGTATCTTGAGCAGCACTTTATACCTCCACTTAGAACTTGATTAGTCACGAACAATAGAATCATTATAAATCAATACAATAAAACATCTTGATCAATAAATGCCTAGCAGCACCAGACAGCAGCCGTGTACCTTTTTCGACTCCACGGAGTCCCTGATGGACTTTTGTTTACTTTTGTTAATAATTTGACCGCAACCTTTCTTTCTCGAAACACAAATCCTACTGTACTTCATTACAGTATTAAGATAATATAATATAAAGCAAATCATGTGAATATATGACTACGAAATAGATCTATAGACTTGTCCATAATATTTAATACCGTATTGATGGTTTTGAATTTTGTATATTGAATTTTAATGTGAAGCGTTTACTCTTCCCCCTCGGCAATTAATTAGAAAGTTAGATTAATGACAATAATTGCCAAATGACGTAGTAGATATAGATGTTCAATGTTGTAGAGTGATTTCAAGAGTAGTGGTCCACAGGGGCCCGAAAAAGCCGTACAGGCACTTGGGTCCTTATCCTTGTCACTAGTCCCAATTGGATTCACTTTACACAAAACGTGAACGTTTACAATTTAGACGTACACATTGGCACGATATTTATTAGAAAGCAAACAGTATAAAATAATACGTGCGTGCGCGGCTTGAGCCGCGCCGCATAACAATTTATGCGTTTAGGGGCTGGAGTACGCGTGTTTACAGATTAATGAATTGTTGCATTGTAAATATTTAAAGTTGACGATATATTATGATTTAATAGTAAATTTTTCAAAGCTGGCTTTGGACTTAGGTAAAATTATAATTTATTTATTTAAAAGAAAAAACCACGGATAGTTTTTAATTT